AAGACCGTTGGGGGGGGGGGGGGGGCCATCAAGCTCCAGAGATACGTGATATAGTGCACGCGAGTGTAAGTGTATACAAGGGAAAGGAAAGGACAATAAAATATAATGATCGCGCGTCGATATGACGAACCGGAAATAAATATGTATTTTATCAGAAAACACTATGTAGTAAATAATACTTGTACATCTCATTTCGTGATACCTGCATTACTAATTCCCAATGCGCGCAAGAACTGAAAGAAATCTTTCAGCCTCCGGATGTTTGAAAGATGTTACTGGTTAGATAACCAGGAACTCGAGGAAAATCCAAAAACAATGCAATAGTTACGATTTTGGGGGTAAATTGCAAAAATGTGATTGCGTTATTCCGCCCATTGTCACACCGCGCGTACCGACCGACCGACCGAGTTCTCACATGTTTCGCTTTCGACAGAGCTCATGCGACGTCAAGACTCCAACGAAGAGGTTCTCGCCATTCACGTTTTCCGTTATGAAACTATTTTGATACTCTTGATGCGTAAAGATATGTTGTACTATTTATCCATATAGAGTACAACACGTTTCAGATTGCACTTCTCCTCACAGTTTTTAACTGCTTTATGTTTGATGTTAAGTAACATATATTGCAATATTCATTAAGTGTTTTTGCTACAATATTTTATTTATTGTTGTGTAATATGAGAGTATCTATCTTATTTGGCTTTGCATGCATTCTACTTTTTGGCAAATCATTTTATATTGTTCTGTTCTGCACCATTTTTGCCACTGCAGGCCACTTGTAGGTACCATCTTGTTTGATTTTGTGTAAGTAGTCCTGGGAGCTTCTATACTCCTATGAGCACATTTGGACCATAATGTTTGTGTTTTGGATTAGCAGCGTAGCACTATCTTGTTCCAACCCATTCAATTTATTTTGATGAAAACTATGATATGGATCTTTTATAATAATTTTGCTATGCAATTTTATAAAATAACAACATAAGCAAGTTTTTGGGAATATCCTGTATTGGCTTTGCTACATTGTGCATTTATTAAGTAGGAAATTAATTCTTTGCCCCTCAATAGTGGGGAAAAATAGAAAGTATTAAAATAAATGCCCAATTCCATTATAAGCACAATTATTTAAAAAGTAAATGTAATGTTCTTCTAGAGTATAAGTAACACAAAATGTATTTTAGAGGTAAAATAAATTAAACCACAATATTTCACTTTATAAAAGATGTGAAGTGAGTAATAATTTATGTACTCTTTTTTATTAACAAATATGTTTGATTACAAAATAGTGAAACTACAAACTGAGAATTCCTTTAACAATAATTATATTCTTATTACAATAAGTACAAAGTTTACACTTGTACAAAACAACTAATCACAGCGTTTAAATAGTTGAAGATAGGAGCTTTGCATGAATAAATCCAAAGATGTATTACCTCAACCGTATACTCATTATAACCATATTTTGTTACTATATGTTCGTCAATCTTATAAGAAAATTTACCTTAGAAGAATTACACTTAACTTAAAATTTGTTTTTTCCAAAATTTTGATATTTTAAGTGTGATAAAGTTGAATTTCTAATAATATCATGTATTATACCTAGAATCTTCGAGCCCCCATCCCCCAATCTTTACACTCGGAAGTACCCATTGAGCCAGTATTATTTATTACAAACTCCTTTATGTTGATTAATGAATATAATATTGCATTAAATTGTAAGAAATTTACAATACGCAGCAAAGACAACGGTTGTTTAATGGATAAAATATTTTTAATTTTGTTCCGTTCAAATTTATATTTTCTTCAAATTCACCAAAAATCTATCCAAAAAGTTAATTATCTATGTGTAGATAATCAGCAGGCTAAATACCAATATCTTGCATAACCTTGTGTAGGATTGATTTAATAAATGAATACTATAGAAAATATAGGGACTCCACATTATCCTGCCAATAAAAAATGAAAACAAATCAAACAACTATTCTATTTCTTCTCGTATAAAACAGGTATTCCTGTTTTTTGTAAGTGTAGGTCAACAATAAGATTAAATTTAATGGAATGTGAAATACTAGAAAAAAGTAAATACTTTGTCAATTGAGATCATTAACAAAACAATGAACTTTCTATTTTGTATTAGCGTATAATTCCATTATTCAATGACAAAAGAAGTTTCTTTCCATTTTTTTTTTTTAACAACCTATGGAATAGCATAGCATGATATTTAATTTTTTTTTATGTGAAAGGAACTGCCACAAACCTACTTTTAACCAACTGTTAACTTTATGGTGTCAAGAGAATGTAAATTGACTAAAAAGAAGAAGAAATAGAAATAACTTCATAATAAAACTACCAAAATTAAATATATCTATCACAATTTAAAAGTTTCTTGCAAATAATGAAGGGAAGTACTGCATTGTGTTGACCACTTACTACCTTCAAGTGAGTGTGATATGTGTACATTGTAGTGTAGTTTTAAAAAGGATGTACAAAATTATCTTAATAACAAAATAGAAAATTCTTTCAGTCACAACATTGCATGACTCTTCTTGTGGGATAATCATGTTTCAGTCTTTAAAAAAATGTAAAGGCTTCACTGATAAGTGCTAAAAATATCATATTTGTATACATGCTTTGATAAAAAACCTTTGGATACAAATACAATGAAATTATTCATGAAATTTCTAAACAAAATATATAAAGGATCATCCAAAAGGAGCTGTTAATATAGATAAACAAATTTTTAAAAAATTTAAATGTAGAGTTAAGCATACCTAATGGAAATGACAAATTAAACTCTAGACCAACAATCAAGCATACAGATATCTAAACATTCTGACAACAGTAGTGACTAATGGTACATTTATAGCATAGTAGCTAGAGTATTCATGAAACAGATTATGGAAACATCAAAATAAACATTTTCAGTTTTAAGATATTCATTATAACAAATAATAAATGAATCATTAACACCTAATATTTAGTAAATACAAGACAGTGCATGCAGGAACTCATTTGGTTTTACAACAGTGTTTTCTTCAGTAAGTACATACGAGAAATAAGAAATATTTCAGTTATGAAAATATTGATTAACAATACAATCCAGTGGATGTTATTTCCAATACAATAATTAGAAATCTTTGTATATTTAATAATATCAACACTGAATGTGAATTTATACAAACTTCAAACTATGATAAACTAGAATTTGAATTTGTCATCAGTGTTTCGATCAAAAAGTATTTTAAATATTTCTATAAATAAAGAAATGACATTAAAAAATTAACATTACTCATGCAGCAGTTAACTCTTGTAAATTGCAGATTACTTAAAATTGTACACTTGGAAGCACACAAACAATTGAACATGACATCAGTCATACTTTATGACAATAAAAATTAATAGACCATGAATACTGACTATAGTAAACAAAAGAATTGTTTAGAATAAAATTCAAGATTTAATGGGGTCTACAAAATATACAAGAAGGGAGAAAGTTTTATATATTGATAATTTAAAATTTTATTCAATATAAGCATTCATAATTGCAATAACAGAATTCATGATTTGAATTCACGGAGATTAAAAATTGTTCACATTTAAAGTTCTAATAACATGAGGTCAATCAAATCTAGATAAAACACAACAAAAACAAAAAAAAGTACCCAGACGAGAACGTGTTTGTCCCATTCTCTGTTCACCTTTCCATTAGGTAGAGATTGCATTTACTTTGGCAAGGTGGCCACTACATTCTTGAGAACAACTTTCAGAACCTGCATTTTACCCACATAAAATTTGTCCTATTTAAATAAAATATAAAATAAAAGTAAGATTTTTGTACCTGGTACTTATTTGTTGATTCCCTAATTTTGCTGTAAAAAGTTAACAATATTTGCGAAAAAATTATATTACAAAAATGTTATTTAAGGAATAACATATCTACATTGATAATTGTCCCGTCTTTTCCAGATTTATGAAATTCACAGTGATTTTCCTGTTTTCCAAAAAGTGGCCACCCTGATTACTGCCCTCATATGGAATTTCCATAAAACAAATAAAAACTGTTAGTCACGATAGATAAAATATTTAACCTTAAATTACAATACAATACTCTTAATACAAATACTGGTCACAATGAATTGTTAATAATAATGGTTCATGGTTACACTATGACTAAATTTAGAGATGTGTATCGCTCCAGTGATATTCGGGTTCTATTTCAAGAATTATGGGTGACACTACTTCCACTGCTAGCAGATAAGCCTAGCGCTACAAAGCCCTTCCTGCAATTCAGTCATTGGAGTAATACATTGATATTTTCAGTTGATCAATATTAAAATGATTCTGAAACCAATGTTAAACACATTCTAAAATAGAGACTACAGGTACAATAATTGACACACAAGAAATTTAACATATACAATATGCATAAATTGTTAGTACAGTAGAAGAGCGGTGCAAGAAACAAGAGACAATGTAACAGGAAGTTCAAATAATTCTTAAAGAAAATAAAATTTTAAGCCTCTTAAAATGCTGGAACAAGCTATTAATATTTCAAACTTAAGAGTAAAGAAATTTACCCATTTAAACCCATCAATTCTATAAATGTCAAATGCAAGGATTCTGGAAAAAATATTTTGAAATGAATTTTATATATCAGATAAAAGTGAAATTACACCAGGCAATGCTTAATCATAAAATTTCTTTAAACCAATAATGTATTCTACTGTAATTTTCTTTTCCATTTCAAAAGAAAAGAAAAGTTGTATAAGTCAAAAAGTAGTGAAAGAACAGCATTAGTAAATACTTGATCTCTTTACTTTCCATATACAATGTTAAAAATAAATTAGATTAAGTTCTCCATACTTAACATGCTGAATATTTTCTCATTAATCTGACATGACATGCATAAGTAATAATTAAATTTTCAGGAAAAGTAGCAACTTAGTTTTAGTAAAACCAACATCAGTCATACCCATTAAAAAAAAAAAAAAAAAAAAAAAAAAAAAAAAAAAAAAAAAAAAAAAAAGAATTCTTTTATATATTTCATCCACGAGCTTAACACAGTTTCCTGTTGCTACAAATTAATTATGTAGTACAAGATAAAAATATACAGGTTTTTCTGTACAAACATTTCTTCTAAATGTCTTTTATAAATAAATTGGTTGTGAAAAATACTTCCAACAAATTATATTTAAGCAGGTACAATACAATCTTCATAACCAGGGCAGGGATTTATACGGAATAACATGTACTTAAATATGTACATACATATGGACTAAAAAACTGCCGAATAAGGATAAAAATTGAATAAATGTATTAAAATTTATGTATTCGACAAATTTTTAAGTTACTTGTATTAAATGATCAAAGAATTCAGTTTTAGTATTATCTGTAGAACAAAATTTATTCATGTACAATTACAGACTGAACATTATTGTATCGTTAGAAGTACAGTTCCTTAATCCTTTTCTGATAATTGGCCATTTACAAAGCAGTGGATTATAAAGCCCTGTTTTATATGTTAAACTTCCCTTGTCTCTTAATATCAATTTGTACTGGCTAAAATGCCGCTCAACGTCAGCACTAGTTGTAGTATACAACATGAACATTGCAATATATTGCAAGTTAAATCCAGATCTACTTCTAAATCCAATTCACCATTTTAAATTGCATTGAAATTTGAAAATAATCTTCCCAGAAGAATAACTTTGAAAGATAAGGCTATACAGAACATATTGCGAATAAAATGTTGAAATGTGTACTGACATGCGAGTTTTCCTTAAATGTGTGAAAATATTTACTATGGATATAGGGACAAATATGGTCAATCAAATAGGTTTCAAACCACTTCAAAAAGCATAATTTATAATTGTAAAACAAAAGCCTCATTGTAACAAACGAACAAATATGCAATTACCTACAAATCCTAGCCCTGTATATAACAAATTAATACGGGAAGAAACAACTACAAAAAATACATTTCATTCGTCAAAAATCCAATAAGAACAAGGATTTATAAAGAATCTGGAAAACTAATTAGTTGCAGGCTGTAAGGTTAGTTACAGCTACTTGATTCTCATTCAAGTAATCCACGACCGTCAATATGATTCAAAAGAAGCATACATTTACGTACTTCTAAGAAATTATGTACTAAAAATATTGTACAAGGTAAAAAACAATATTTACTTTGGCATAATATCACTAGAAAATTCATAGTCTGAATATGTAGATGTGAATATCTACAATTCAGCATGAAAGGCGTAAAGTAAGGCAAAAGTTGTCATGGAAGTTATTTTATTGCAATGAATTTGCAATTTCCATACTTTTGTTAGCTATTTCACTTCAAAAAACATTAAAAAAGAGCAGGCTTACAAGAAAAAGAAAACCAAGGTACAGAAAAACAATAATAAATGAGAGTGTATTAGTAATGGGAGATGATTATAATTTCAATTCTGATGAACAATTATTAACAAAATCTCTCTCGTGCATTAATTCTGTTTTATTTACAGGTATTTTTTACGATAACACAACTATATATAAATAGTACGATTAAAAAGTCTACTAATTTAAAAAACTAACTATGACATATTATGTAAACATTGAGAATATTCTAAATTCTTTAAAACATTAGAAGAGGCAATAATTTAATCTAAAACAACCGGTCTTACCTCCAAATTCTCAAAATGTATCATTACATTGCCATGCCAAATAACTATGTAATGAACAATTAACACACTCAAGAGTTCTGTGAATATATAATTCAATTGGCTTCTACTTTTCTTGACTCAACACCACAAGCAGTCTGGCCCAAAAGAAAAGGATCATTAATGTCGAGGGAAAAAAACAAACAACATTGTGAAGAAAATGTACAATACAATTTCTCTTTTTTTTTCAATGGTTTAAAAAAGGTGCATTCAAACACATTGAAACTAGTGAAACATAAAAAAAAGAAACGTACATGGTCTATTTGATTAAAGTGAGGTTCCCTATGATGCATGAAATATAATTATCCCTATTAAAAAGTTTGCTCAAGACAAACTAGCAATGTGTTTTTATTGTTTGAAATTTTGTCATAATATGAATATGAGTCAAAGAAGTGTATTATTATTGCTTCTCAACAAACAGTGAGATGATAATTAAGTGAAAATTATGCAAGCATATTAATATGCCCTACATAATTATGTACCTAAATGAAATGTTAGCTCTCAAGAAATATGATAGAAGAATATGAAATATAATTATGTGATATAAGACCAAAAATCACAAAGAGGTTATGTGCATTTAGATCATGAAAGAAGTGAAATAGCTTCAAACCATGCCATTCTTTAACTTTTCAAATCTAATTCCAGCACATTACGAACGACATGCAAATTATTATCAGTTTAATAACTGCAATTTTATTATCAAAAGATTAGATTACCAATGACCACAATATGTCAAAGGTCATCAAACAGAGTAAATATAGTAAAAATACAAACATGTTAGGCAATTTCAGATCGATATTCAATTAATTAATGCTTTTATAAGCATAAAAATTGTACCCCTGCATTATCAAAACATTTGCCACTTCTGGTAACAGTGTCCTATTTTACTAATTATTGCATTAAAATTACGAGAGAATATGACAATTCTTCATAGATCTTTGAAATTAAACAGATGGTTGCTACAAAGCAAGTAAACAATTCAAAATATCAAATCAGAATAAAATAAGAGTATTAATAACAAAAATAATACATTTCTAATCTAATTGTTTCTTGTTTGATGAAGATGTAATCCACTACTCTGAATGGGATGGATTTATATACCCAGAGTCTAGCCTTTCCATCCTGTTTCGTCTTCTCGACTGATTTGCTTCTTATATTCATAAAAACTATAGGAATATCTTTAGTGTAACAGCTCTGTAAGAATATCACAATATTAAAAATGTATCACAAGTAAAATTGGCAAGTGAAAAACAGATACACCGAAGTGTACTAGTTTATAGTTTAACTATTTATATTTACATATACTCAATGGAAATTTGGTTCAGACAAGGAATAAAAAGGGGCTGTGGTAGCATACATAATCAGTAAAAACTGTAATTTTAAATGAAATAAAGAAATTATGCAAAAACAGAATTTGATGCAGAACTTTGTAATTTTGTATTAAAAATATATAGAAAAGTAATCACAAATAACAAGAAAAGCAAGATAGAGACATTGCCTTAATAACAAAGATGTATACTTTTCATGAACTCCTATGTATTCCTTGTTTGTTACAGCCAACTATTTACATTATACAAAATGATAAGAGATAATCAATAGAATATAATATACAAAATAAAGAATATCTATATTGGAAAGAATATCTCAAAGCAAGGCATTATATATATATATATATATATATTTATCATATATTATATAATATATATATATAATCTATATAGGCTTATTAAAATGGAGTTTATTGCAGTTTCACATGGGCCATGCTTTTAGTAATCTTTAAGGCTTTAATTCGGTTCTAAAAATATTTTTCAGGTGGTGAGGTAAGGTTATTAGAGGAGATGATGATTTTGTTGGAAATATGTTGTAAGTTTAGATTCTGTTATGCAGCAAGGACTTTATGCACACATAATTCTTTAGGATTCTCCTCATTTCTCATTACACACTTGTATTGTTCTTTGGTTTGAGCTTCCTCAGTAGCCAATGAAGGAATAATTTTGAGCACTTTTGTTTAGCAAGACACAAATAGAAAAAGATAGAACACTTCAGTAAGTAATAACTTGTTTCACACTTTTAACATGAAATGGATACAATACTCTGGACTTTAGGTTCATTTTAATACAATTAAAAAGTGATTGCACACTATTTTATATTGTAAGCAATTAGTATTGTTGAGGCAAAGTATGAATCATTTTTTTAAAAATAAGGAAAGGAAAATTATTTCAATTAAACTGTCCGTACATTTTTGCACTAACTTCTTCTTTTGTCTCCTTCGAACATTTCAACATTTCATTTGAAATTATTAACTGAGAGTTGCATTAATTGTATAGAATTATAATAGGAGTAATTTTACCAATATTTACATATTTTCGTCCTCTGTGAGAAGACGATAGGCTTTTAGCAAAGAAGTTATGTTTTCATATTCAGAAGAAAGGTACTATAAAAAGTTTTATAGTACATATTTTATGCATGTATATATTATAATTTTGTGTATTCTCAGTAAGGGAAATGACGCATTGTTTAGATAATATTGCTGAAGTTTTCAGTCATTTTCTTAATGAATGAGCAAAATTAATCAGATCTCTGTTAATGTATTAAAGAGTAAAGCTGATGTCGGATGTATCTAAGAGGAACAACACATACTGTTGTTGTAATACATCTGGCTACTACAAAGATGAGGCTGCAGTGAAGAGAAAATTCAGAGAAATAAGCCTTGGTGCAAGAATCAGAAAATTAACCCTGCAACTTATTATATGCATGAAATGATTTTCTGGAGAGAATAACAGGTACTTTTTCCACTTCTTACGCGGTAAGAACGAAGTTAAAGCTGAAGTTAATCAGAACTTTTGAAACTCCTAAAGAGCTATTTGTAATAGAGAATTTTAGAAAAAACCACATTGAGATTGGTAATCTAATTACGTTTCAGTGGCATGAGATTAAGAAGAAAGAAAATAAATTTAAATAGTAATATTTGAGTAGTTTGGAAGTCTATCCATTTCACATGAGAATTTCAGCCGGTTTTTAAGTGCTAATAATAATATACTTATTGAATGATTTTAAGTGCATATAATTCCGCGGAACAAGTAATGCTGCATAGCAATTACAGATTAATAAAACAAATATGTCAAGAACTTGCAGAATGAAGTAAAAAAAGAGCTAAGATGTTTACCAACATTATGTTGAATAAGCATGTGAAAATTTTACCAATAGTGTAGATGGATGGGGACGAGAGGGGGTG